TTAAATGTTTATCCTAATAATTCTGATTAGTCATTTCCTGGTCACAGTATCAGTATTTTTGTGATATCAACTTAGTTTAATCGGCATCTCTTATTTTTTTACATTACTGTATAAGATACATAAAAGCTTCAATTTTCTTTTTGTTTCGTCTTCTTTTAAACCAGTATTGGTGGACAAAACGAACTACGTTAGTTTTACTTCACAACTGTTATGTAGGAATTTTTTGCTAGCTTCACTTGGTACCGTAGGTATACTAAGGCTTTAAAAGCGTCTTGCCACTTTTTTCTCACTGGTTAATTTCAGGTAGATATTGAAGATCAAAAACCCATTCCTATTTTAGTAATGGCAGCGAAGAGGCCGTTAGCTATTCGTAACCATCTGGAACAATTACTGAAGTAAAAAGTTTTTAACATCAATTCCAATTTCTTATGAATTTTACTTTTGGAACGGAATGTGTTTTTTATTTTTTATCACTCTTTTATTTTGGCCTCCTAAAACCAGCTATTATTGCTCTGGAAGTCGTTTTGGGTGACATTGTAGAATTAACCACAGTCTTGTAGTAACAGTCGAGCCATACTCATTTTTTTAATTTTGGTGATCTCAAATTTACTTTTAACTTTTAATGGTTTCTTCCTTTATTACCTTAGCATAATTCTCTTCTTTTCACCACTTTCTTTGAAGGCTCCTGATAATTATAATTAATTTATCTATTTTTTTGCTTAAATTTTTCTACAATAGTCTCTTGTAGAAAAACTCTTTGTCTTGATTTAGATACCGGCCTTCACCAAAAAGGTTTCCTATTATTGTTAGCCAGGACGGTGTAAACGAGGCAACGACTTCTGCGATCGAGCACTTTGTCAACGCTTCAAACAACGTATTTTTTATGCATGTTAGTCAACATTTTAATCGTTTTTCTCTTTATTCTCTGTTTTATTAAAATTTATATAACGCATCTGTTAGCGAAATGTTGCGCTTGGTACAATGGTCGTTCCTTGCCAACTTTATCAGTGAATTCTGCTTTTCGTTTTGCACCACAAATGCTTTTTTTTGCTGCATCATTGTGCATCATTATTAATACTGGTATTCTAGTTTGGTTTCTGTCTTTCAGCATAAGGACAGGATTGGACCGGGTACTCAAAGTCAAAAAAATGCAAAGAGTTATTTTTACATAGCACAGCATTACAAATGGGCGCTAGATAAAGTTTTCAGTGGTCCGGTTTACGAACACGTTGTTGTGACTGAGGGTATGTTTTTTACATTTTCGATTACAATCTTTATTGAAAGGGGTTTACAAAATTTAGTCGTGCTTTATAGATGACCTTGATATTGCTCAAGATTTCTTTTCTTATTTCCTGGGGACAAGGAAACTTCTGAAGACCGATTCTACTATATGGTGCATTAGCGCGTGGAATGACAACGGTGGCAGTGAAATTACTGATAGGGCTGGAGTAGAACAGTTGTACCGAACTGACTTTTTTCCAGGACTTGGTACGTGTTTTTGTGGTCATCAGAAATTATTTTTAGGCTGAGATTTTTGTTACTGCGTTGTTTACGAATCAGTTTTTTAGGATGGATGTTAACAAAGGAACTTTGGCAAGAACTTTCACCTTTTTGGCCAGAAGCCTATTGGGATGACTGGCTTCGCAAACAAGAAGTTCGCAAAAATAGAGTTTGTATACGTCCAGAAGTTTCTCGAACAGCTCACAATAATAAAGTTGCTGGTAAAGGTTCAAGCGGGTAAAAGCTTTATGTGTTTTTTTTGTTTTTCATAGCTCAGTTTGTGTTACAGGTTATTTGTTAGGCCTATCCTATTTCAGATCTGTGCTTTAAGCGATGTTATTTCTTTTCATTCTGAGTTTTTTTGATAAGGTTCCTGCTTTCCTTATTTATTTATTCTATAGTCTTTCCTGTCGGAATACTTTAATTTATTTTCAGAGGTCTTTATAATAAATATTTTGCATCAATTCACTTGCCGGAGCAGCCTGTTGACTTTTTACAGCTCGACCTTTCTTATCTTGTTAAAGACAATTATGATAGGTATATTTTTTGTTCAATTTTTAAATCTGATTTATTTATAAACTTGTGAAATTTTACTCGGAAGAGACGCTAGTTTCTTGCTTACCTCACGTAGTAAGTGTGCTTCCAAACGTTATTTGATTTGAAAGGTATTTTCTTTTTTTTAGAATTCTTAAACAACGCCTCGCTGGTGCGAAAGCAATATCTGTGAATGATATCGAAAAGAAAGCTGTTAAAAAGGGCAACGTTTATAGAGTTATTTATAAAACTCCAAGAGAATACAGACGTCTTGCCAAGGCTGTAGGATTAATGAATGATATTAGGGTTTGTTATTCGCCTCTTAACCTCTAACGTAAGCTCGCTGGTCAGTTTTGGTGCGTTTAGTTCACTTAGGGCATTTATCATAATTGCCCTCTGTAAAAAACTACTAAGTTTTCTTATTCCGTAACTTTTGGAATTACTTCTAATTTAGTCTGGTATGCCACGGACTGCATATTACGGTGTTGTGCCATTTCTTTTTGGTGGTTCTCGGATTTATGCTGTACATCCAAATCTTTCGCCAGACAATGATTTTATGCGCCTTAATTCTTCCGAAGTGTACGATGAAGTGTGGGACAAAATGACTCGCTTTTTGGATTTCGAGCAACTTTATTGCACGGCGAAAAAGTGTGTTTTTATATATAT